CCACCACTGACCCGTGTCTCCATGTGTCACATCCACACAGCTTTTAAACCCCCCCAGGGATGGGGACTCCACCACTGTCCTGGACAACCTGTCCCTAGGCCTACTAACACTTTCCATTATGAAATTTTCCCTAATAATCAGTCTAAATGTTCCCTGGCCCAKCCTGAGGCCGTTCCCTCTCCTCCTGTCCCTGTTCCCTGGAGCAGAGCCCGACCCCCCCGGCTGTCCCCTCCTGTCAGGGAGTTGTGCAGAGCCACAAGGTCCCCCSGGAGCCTCCTTTGCTCCAGGCTGAGCCCCTTTCCCAGCTCCCTCAGCCGCTCCTGGGGCTCCAGACCCTTCCCCAGCTCCGTTCCCTGCCCTGGACACGCTCCAGCCCCTCAATGTCCCTCCTGTCCTGAGGGGCACAGAGCTGTCCCCAGGGCTGGAGGTGCCCCAGCAGTGCCAGCACAGGGGATGGACACTGTCCTGGGGCTGTGGCCACACCATGGCTGGGACAGTCCATTGACCATTGGCCTCTTGCCCACCTGGGCACCCCTGGGCTCATGTCCAGCCGCTGGCACCAGCACTTCCAGGGCTTTTCCCAGCGTTCCAGCCCCTCTGCCCAGCCTGGAGCTGCAGGGCTGGGTGTGACCCAAGGGCAGGACCCGGCACTTGGCCCTACTGCCCGTCACAGCACTGACCACAGCCCATGGACCCAGCCTGTCCAGACCCCTCTGCAGAGCCCTCCTGCCCTCCATCAGTCTGTTCCAGTCTTCCCAAATGGAAAGGTTTGGGGCACTGCCCTTGTTCATGGACCACCTCTTGAAAGGTCTGTATTGATTCCGAGCTCTCCTTGTGTTTCCTCAGCCTCGTGTGCTCAGAGAAATTCACCAGAAGCCAGATGAGTATTTTAGTGGTCAGAAACACTGTGCAACCCTAACTGGCTGTGCTGCCCTTGCCCACAGGCACTGCAGCCTCAGAATCACTCAGGGTCCTGCAAAAGTTGCCCAGACACAGAGAAATGCTGTTGCTGTTGCTGGTGCCTGCAGGGAGCACGGTGAGGAGAGGCTGTATGAGGTTGCAGTTCCTCCCCACCCCATAACCAGGGGGATATAACAGGGCAGACAAATCTCATCACAGGGAGGAAAAGGCCTCACTGCAAATCCACCCACCCAGCATCCTGCAAAAAGCAGCTTTTTGATCAGTGATTTTCCATTTGAAATTTCCTGTGCCAACACCTTCCCTGCTTGTCCCAGACACACCACAAGCAATGAACCAGCCTGCCTTGATGCAACCACCTCTTCCTACAAACCCCACCTTGTTTCTTCGAAACGATGACCTGAGGATTTCACAATGCTGCTGCTAAGTTCCACCAAGCCAGTCCCCATTTAGAGAAGGACAAGCAAGGGAAAGGGGAAGTGAAAGAGCAGCCATCAGTCAGCAGCCAGGGAACAAACCCAGGAGCTCAGGGCTGCACTCCCAGACGGGGGTTGTTTCAGCAGCATCACTAAACATGCAGCAGGGAGCAGAGCTTTGTGCCATTAAAAGCAAAACGACCAAAATTCCACTCTTCAAGTTGCAGCCTGTTAGCCCACCAATCAGAGTTAAAGTGGTTCTTAGCGTTTTCATCATTTCTATTTTTACTGTRTGGTTTTATAGGAGTAAAGCGCTCTGATGAGACACAAAGCTGTTGGGTTATTCGAAATACATGCAAGAATGGGCTTGCATACWAAGAAAGTGAAAAAAAGTGAAAGAAAAGACCTCACATAGTGAAAGAAGAAGAGCAGATTGCAAAAACAAACRAAACCAAAATGTCATGCTTGCTCAACTCATGGCAATCAGCACAGGCTCAGCAAGGACAAACGAACATGAGCTGTGCAGTATTTTTGTTCCTGCACAGCTCCCTCACAGGCTTGCAGGACACATGGGAGTGGGAGCACACAGGGCAATAAATGTTCAGCTTCAGGCATGTCCAGACTTCAGTCCCTGAGCAAGCAGGAGTTGCAATGGGATGAYGGAGAGCAAACCTCTTTATGAAAATTTATCATCTTGTGTTGAGACCCAAGATTGTGAGCACAGCACAGAGAGMCAAGTGGTCCTGGGCTTTCCTGATAGCGCAAATCAGGAATATCACACATCACAGCTCCAGCAGGGAGSTGATGCCAGGGCAGGAGCAGACACAGCATGCACCAAAGGATCCAGAACTGGTGGGATTTACAATTAAATCAGTCCCCAGGTGAGCGTGGAAGCACAGCCCTGCTACCCCGATGGACCAAAGGGTGGGCTGCAGCTTATCATACAATCACAGAATCCCAGAATGGGTTGGGTTAGAAGGGACCTTAAATTTCATCCAGTTCCACCCCTGCCATGGGCAGGGACACCTCCCACTGTCCCAGGCTGCTCCCAGCCCCAATGTCCAGCCTGGCCTTGGACACTGCCAGGGATCCAGGGGCAGCCACAGCTGCTCTGGGCACCCTGTGCCAGGGCCTCCCCACCCTCACTATTCCACCCCCACAAAGAAATTTGGAGGTCACCACTCACAACCAGACACATTTCAAAGCTGGAAGACCCAATACCAGAACTGGCCTAGCTCTTCAGGGTTTGGYCATGTTATAGACTTGGTCCCATCAATTGGAGGTTATGTCTCCTGGAGTTCTACCAACAACTCTTCTTTCTCATCAGGCTGTCCTAACCACTAAGAAATTTTGCCACTGCAAGAGTAACATACTTTTTTACATTATTTAGGGATTCTGCAGTTAGAGTGTGATGATGAGTTAACTTGGTGGGAAAAAAAAAGAGCTGGACATTTTGTTGGACCAGCAGATCTGAAGCTGAGCCACCATCACCTCTTCAGAACAATGTGTGGCAACATCGTTACCCACAAAAGCTGTGGCTGCCCCTGGATCCCTGGCAGTGTCCAAGGCCAGGCTGGACATTGGGGCTGGGAGCAGCCTGGGACAGTGGAAGGTGCTCCTGACCGCAGGAGGGGAATGGGCTAGTTGGTTTGTAAGGTCCTTTCCAACCCAAAATGCTCTGCACTTCTTTGATTCTAAGAAACCACCTGCTTCGGCTGACTTCTCCTTCTATGTTTGCCCTTACGCAAAGCCACTTAAGAGGAAAATGGCAGGAGGAAGTGTGTGCCCACTCACAGCGCCCAGCAGCAGGCGGAAGCTGGATGTGCAGCCTCCACACCTCATCTTGATTTGGTTTTTAATTCCCATGCCTTGCTCCCCCTCCTCCCCAGCCCTCGCAGCTGATGCACAGTCACCAGTACGTGGTGTGGTGGCTGTTTGGGTGGYACCTGCCTTTTCCATCAGCCCAATGACCACAGAAGGGCCTCAGTCTCTCCACTGAGTCACATCCACCACGTTCCCGTCCAACCTCCACCCCAGCTGCCCACCCCAGGCACGTTCCCTCGGTCCCCAGGCTTCAAAAAGGACCAAAACCAAGCAAAATCCTCCTAATGGTTTGGGGCTCAGCAAGAACCGGGGATTATTCAGTAAATGGCTGGGTTGGCAGTAAAAGGAGTCAGGCAGGAGTGAGGCCCCATGCAATGCCCCAGATCCTCCTTGCCCTGGGAGCTGGAGGCTGCTCCTGTCTTGGTATTTTCTCCCACTGAGCCCCCTTTCTTTTGAAGGACCCTCCTTCAAAAAGCACCACACCACAGCTGGAGAGGAACAAACTGGGCAGAAACATCCCCGTGGCGAGAAGCTCTTCTTCAACCCTGTGTGCCATGACAAACCCTGTCTACTCAGCCTTCCTGGCATCACAGTTATTCCCCCACCCCCGGGCATGCTGCCAGCACCCTCAAAACCACCCCTCTGCACCTTGGCAAAGCAAAGGGAGCACAGTGGAAAACTCTCTAACAAATAGCCGGGAAGCAGCTGCCACATGCAAAGTTGGATTTTTTCTCCACGACAGGTTCGATACCTGCATGGAATTTAGGTATTTGACAACACCATTAGCAAATTAACCTGCTAATTATGCTGGGTGAGCTCTGCACTTATTCCACAACACTCACAAGCCCCACACCTCATGCCAGCCCATCCTGGGGTCTGTGTTTCCCTCCTGCATCCTACAAGATGGGAGCGGCTTCCAAGTGACATCTGGGAAACCCAAGGCACCACTCACAGATGAAGATTTTCAGCCCCAAAATACACAATTTTGACATTTGCTTCCTGGTTGCCAATACCTGGAATGAAGGTCCACCACAAGAGGAACTGAATAATCATARAGCTAAAGCTTAGCCGAAGATACGTGGATTTTCTGCACTTCCCCTTTTATGACAGCATAATTCAGACTGAAAAGAATAAATTGTGGTTTTCCCCGAACTGTGGGTTTTCCTCCATGGCTCAGCAGCTGGCAGCAGCACATGGAGTGACTTGCCCCTAGTCTGGGATTAGCTCTACATGAAGAGAACATTTTTTACCATGGCATCTCCAAGTAGGCTACCCATGGTCAATTAATGCTATCCAGCCCCTCAACTTGGCATTGGCTTCCTCCAGCAAGGCAGCAGCTGCTTCCTTGGATTATTTTGGCTGCACGGAGCAGGTTATAAAGCCACAACTCTCAGGACATGCATGGGTGGACAGTGYCWGCTGGGRATCATTGAATAYCAKAATGGTTTGGGTWGGAAAGGACCTTAAAGTCCATCTCTGTCCACCAGTCCAACTCTGTCCACCATCTCTGACACCTYCCACTGTCCCAGGGTGCTCTAAGCTCMATCCAACCTGTCCTTGWACTTCCARGATGGRGCAGCCACAGCTGCTCYGKGCACTCTGTGACAGTGTTCTATAAACCCAGAGCATTCAGCGAAGTCACCTCACGACCAAAATCGTTGGTTTTGGAGCCAACTCTAACCAGAGAGYGGACACCCCTCCACCTGCAGCTGTGCCCCCCGGCTCCGGCTGGCTCTGCCCCCGCTGTCCCGGTCCCGCCGTGCTCCCGCTCACCCAGAAGTGGTCCCTGAACCGCGCCTCCCGCATCCTGCTGCCGCCGCCGCCGCGCTGCCCCGCTCGCTGCCCGGCCCGGCCCGACCCGCCCCGCGGAGTCTCCACCCACGCACGGCTGCTCCCGCCCAGGATCCCCGCGGCTCGGGGAGTGTTCCGTGCTGCGGCCGGCGGAGAAGCCCGGCCTTGACGGCTGATGGCGGTGAAACGCGCGGCTCCCCAAGGAACGGCGGAGCGGAGCGGGAGCAGCTCGGCCGGCGGCTGCACAGTGCCCTGCCCGCCCGGCTGGGAGAGGGAGGAGTGGTCTGGGAAGGCTTCATGGAATGATACAATTGTTTAGGATGGAAAAGCCTTCCGAGGTCATCGAATCCTATCATTTGCCCAGTATTGCCAAGCCCACCATTAACCCGTATGCCAGCCATCCACGGGATGTTTTAATCCAGGAATGAGGACTCCATCTGTGCCCTGAGAAGCCTGAACTGTCTAGGTCAAGAAATTTCCCGAATATCCTATCTAAGCCTCCCCGGCCCAGCCTGAGGCCATTCCCTGTCCCTGTTCCCTGGAGCAGAGCCCGACCCCCCCCGGCTGCCCCCTCCTGTCAGGGAGTTGTGCAGAGCCACAAGGTCCCCCCGGAGCCTCCTTTGCTCCAGGCTGAGCCCCTTTCCCCCTGCCTTCACAACACACAACCTGCGTCACCCACAGTTTATTAGGGGCCCCTCCGTGAGGGACATCTGAGCGATGCTTTGAAAATATGAAAGCAGAGGTAGGACACTACGTGCTGCAATGCCTGAATCACACCCACTGTGCTCACCTGCTGTCACTGCTTGAACACAGGGACAGCTGAAACACTCCAGTAATGTAAAAAAAAGGCGTTTTCCACTTACTGAAATAAATCTGCTCAATTGTAACTGAGGYTGATGTAGGCAGACTAAGCCTGTGCACTCTCCTGRCACGAGAGCACAAACCTTCCCCATGAATCCRTAACACCAAGCACCTAAATGGGCTCTAAGAMAGCTGGAGATGGACTTWGGACAGGGGCACGGAGTGACAGGACAAGGGGAAAGGCTTCACACTGGGAGAGGGCAGGGATGGATGGGATATTGGGAAGGAATTGCTGGCTGGGAGGGTGGGGAGGCCCTGGCACAGGGTGCCCAGAGCAGCTGTGGCTGCCCCTGGATCCCTGGCAGTGTCCAAGGCCAGGCTGGACATTGGGGCTGGGAGCAGCCTGGGACAGTGGACGGTGTCCCTGCCCATGGCAGGGGGTGGATGTAGATGACCTTAAAGTCCCTTCCAAACCAAACCACTGTGACTCTGCTATCCACTCACCATTTCCCAGCTCCCAAGCCCCACTCCTTAGCCAGCACAGCCCATGGCACCATTTGGTTGCTGTGACCCATKGTCCGAAACCTTCATCCATGACCTTCACTCTGACCCGACCGGATGCATTTACCACACAGTGCTTCCATGAGGAAGTTACCACCTTCCTGCATCACAGCAGCAACAAGGCAGAAACCGGAACCTTGGAATATTACTGTTACCAGAAAACCACTTCTCTGTGTTTTGGATTGAGACACCCTTGAGCTCAGGGGTTTCCAACTACAGCAGCATGTAAGCAAAATATGGCATAGCAACACTATGGAGTAACCACGGTTAAGTCACTGGGAAGGAACACAGTCACAAGATATAAAAGTTGTCCTGGAAGGAACAAGTGATGTTGAGCATATCAGAGCAGAAATTTCCACAGCAGCATCCCCTCACACCTGTGAGGACCCCCAGCCACCTCCTCTGGAAACAAGATGGTRAAAGACCAAAGATCCACAGAGGAACCCCTCCTTCTGGAGCACAGCRCTGTTCTCAGAAAGGTATCTGACATCTCTGGACTACAAGTGAACGTGTGTTTCCCCAGTACTGCAGAGCTCACACTCTCAAAGCATTCAGGACATTATCAAGACAAGCTTGTTAACCTCAACTGTGTGAGAATTACAGCTGCCTGTAATTCCATAATGCTCCAGTACAGGAAGGTAACTGGGGACTGCACACATTAGGAGCAGAACCTGCCCAGCCCTGAACCCCCGGAGCCCTGGGCTGAGCCCCAGCGTGGGCAGCAGGGGAGGGGGGGATTGTGCCCCTCTGCCCCGCTCAGGTGAGACCCCACCTGCAGAGCTGCCCCAGCCCTGGGCAACAACAGCACAGGGACCTGGAGCTGCTGCAGCCAGGCCAGAGGAGGCACCAGATCAGAGCAGCTCTGCTGGGGGGAAAGACTGATGGAACTGGGTTTAGTCTGGAGACAGCTTTGCGGTGACRTAACCGTGGCCTCCCTGTACCTAAAGGGAGCTGACAAGAAAGACTAGGGACAAGGGAGAAAGGGACAAGGAGTARTGACTTCACAGTGGCAAAGGACAAGGTTAGATGGGATATCTGAAAGAAATTCTTTCCTGTGAGTGTGCTGATGGTCTGGCAAAGGCTGTCCARAGCTGTGGCTGCCCCATCTTGGCRAGTGTCMAAGGCCAGRCTGGACAGGGCTTGGAGCAACCTGSTCTACAGGAAGGTGTCCTGCCCATGGCAGGGGGCAGAATGGGACAATCTTCAAGGTCCCTTCTAACCCAAACCACTTTGGGATTCTGGGATTTAAACCTCAAGCTTTTACTACTATGACAGATACATTTGAAGTTGTCCTGAGACGCCAAGGACCAGTCTCCCACAGGCCTGGCACTGGGACAGGTCACACAGCAATTCTGTCAGTGTCAGGCAGTTAAGAGATTCCTGTCAAGTCCAGTGGGTTATCCACGTGACAAGACAGCATAAGTAGCCTCCCCAGCTGCACTCCCCTTCGGCAGGATAAGCTGCCTGGCACAAAGGATGAACATCAAGGTAGTCCCTCAGCTCTGTCACCCTCCTGGTTCATGCCAGGGGTGTTTTCTCACTCAATTGCTGATGATTTCCAGAGCTCCTCTAGCAGGGCTGTCCAGGGAAGCTCAGCTCTGTGGTTCCAAGATCATGGYGCAAGAATCAGAACTACAGACAAAAGGCAATCATTCAGAACACAGTATTTTTACATTCAGAACAGAGCCTTCTTACATGGGAACCTTTATTCGCACCCGACATCTGTACATTCAAGTTGCACATGCTTTAGTCTTTGATGGAGCTGGAACACTGGATGACAACAGCCTGGTCTGTTTGAACAGTTTTGAAGAGTTTATGCCTCAAAAGTAGCCAGGAAATTTGTGACTATTTCCTTCAACTTCGCTTCTGTCTGGTCAGAGATCTTCCCTTCAGTCCTGTGGGAAGAATTCAGTTAAACATTCTGGCACAGCAAGAGAAAGAGGGCCAATCCCCGAGACAAAGACAGAAGCTTTGCAACCTCCCCATTTCTAACAGAATCAGTACATGAATGAACACATCTCTTTGGTGCATGAAGCCTCACTAATTAACACCCCTTCTCTTAGAAGAGCTAGTCCTGTTCAGATATTGAAGTTTGTCCACAAACTCCTTCAGAACAGCCATTTGTACTCCAGCAAGACCCTATCTACACAGCTGTGCCCTACAACACAAGGCACATGATCTGCCTCATGACAAAATAAAGCCAGGACCAGTTTCCAGGACAGGACTATGGAAATACTCAATCCCCAACAGTTCAGTCAGAAGCAGTTAACCCACMGCACTCCAACAGCTTAAAGCTGTCCAAAATACAGGAACTGACTAAATCAAGTGATTTCAGGAACGTGTTAGAGGAGACATAACAAGTAGGTTCACTTTAAGCATCATCTGCATCTTCTGAGAGCTGAAGCTGAGGAACATGGGTGGTAGAAAGGCTGATTTAACCTCCAGTTTTGGTACAGCCAGTTGAAGGCCTGATGTTCTAGGTTACACTACATTAACAGTTCAGTGACCATTATCTACCCTCCCGACACCAATAGCCTTGGCATAAGGCAAGGGAAACCACCATACCTGATTGTGGACAGGAGATCCTTGTGTTGGCTCACTACGTGAGATAGGAAAGCACTCTCRAATTTCGTGATCTTGCTGGGCTCCAGCTTGTCCAAGTGACCTCTTACACCAGCATAGATGACKGCGACCTGCTCCTCAATAGCCATGGGAACTGCGGGAAAAGAGAGCACTCACATCATTTGGAACTCTTCCATTAGGACACTTCAGATAACACAGAGTCCTTGGAAGACCAGGTGCACACGGACAGCTTGGGTCAAGCAAACCTGAACTTGCGACGTGCACAGAATAGATACAGTAAATACTAACCAAACCCGACCTTGTTAGCACAGAGCACTAATGGGAACCCAGCCTTGCCAAACCCAGGGCACTCACCGTACTGGCCCTGCTTGAGCAGCTCTGTCAGGCGCACACCACGGTTCAGCAGCTGCTGCGTGGCAGCGTCCAGGTCAGAGCCGAACTGGGCGAAGGCAGCGACCTCACGGTACTGAGCCAGCTCCAGCTTCATGGTACCTGCCACCTGCAGGGTGCAAGTCAGAGCCAGGGTGAGCACATCTAAGTTTGTCTACAARTTTGAGGGTTATACTGCAGCTGATAGTTGTTACCTCTCCCTTGTGTACCAGACAAGTCAATCTAAGAACTKTAAGATGATTGAAAACATTTCTTAAAATCCCACCCTTTGACACAAGTATGCCATTTTTTCCCTGAAACAGCAACCGTTCATATTAAACTTGCCTAATTCCATGTCTGGACTAAAASCCTGGGGTTAAGAGAGCATTCTCTATTTCTACATCATCAGTACCCAGTTCAGCAACAAAACTTAATTCTACATCTTTACTAAGACAYTATTTCCCTTTCTCCAACACCTTTCTCAGAAGGCAATAGAAGTATTAAACAGATCTTTAAAGTTTGTTCTTTTGTAATTTCATAATGCTAAGAAATCCAAAGCTTTATTCCCTCTCTGTTCACAGTTCATCAGAGTGAAATGGCCTGGAAGGCCTACACACTACTCATCTCTAGCACGAGGAGGAACAGCRGTCTCACAATTACCTGCTTCATAGCCCTGGTCTGAGCAGCAGAACCCACACGGGACACAGACAGACCAACGTTGATAGCTGGACGGATACCCTTG